TTATTATAATCGTCACCCCTTTGGGCGCCCGTACCCCTTATTACTTAGTTATATGTATTTTTATATTATTTGATTGGGTTGTTACAATAGTAGGGCGGTGCTATACTTGGCCCGTCAGTAAACCGAAAGTCGCGCCTTTTTATTACTATATATTGGTCACCTCATCTCCCAACACCTCACAAGTCGTCGCCGCCAACCGCCATACTCGCAGGAGCGGCGTCGGCGCAAACACTATGAGACATCGACAAATGTCTTTTTGAAGATAAATAGAAAAATTGTGGAATACTAAAATATAAGAAAAAAATCGATAGACTAAATTAAATAAAGTGTACCGACCATATAAAATTGATGGCCGGGAAATATTATGATGTATACATTTTACATAAGTACAAGGTATACCAATTACCAATGTTATATAAAGATTAGACATAACTCGAATCACGGTACCCTTACAGAGTATACTCGTAATATATTTCATCTCTATAATTTAATTATATAAATTATGTGTAATATACAAAGTACGAATGTTCATCGATCGTTGTTGTTTGTTATATACATCATATACAATACATCGTACATATTACATTTATACAAGTGACATAATATGCACTCATTATTTTTTATGTAAATTTGATTTGATGTTGAGCTAGACATTACAGCGTAAACCAAGTTAAACAGACAGTATATTATCCAGTAAAAGTTAACATGTTAATGTAAAAATGTACTTTGGAAATTAACAACAACTGTCATTCGTCAAGATGAAGTCAACAGTGAAAAAATAAAAAGTATGAGAATAAAAAGGTTTTTACATTGAAGACCGTTATTATGTAATCGATAACACATTGTTCAATTATTGAACTTACATATTTTGACCTACCTATTAATTGCTACAAAGTTGGTTGTTGAACAATTCAAGATGTTACTATGAACTTCAAAATTGTGTTCAAAACAATTACGTGTGAAGATGAAATTATGGTTTAATGATAAACTAAAAAAATGCTCTGAATACCAACTATATAATTACTTAGAAGAACGTTAGTAGCATATAACTTTTTTGAATCATAATACAATATAATATAATTAACTAAAAAATTGTTTTTTATTTTAGTTTTACTTCTACAGTAATTAACAACAAATCAAAGTGACAGATTTAATCAAATATTATTAACTCCTTCTTTTCATCATCGCTACCATCCATCGAGACGTTTTAATTGCATGATTTAAATTTAAATTTTATGTCTAAATTGATGAATTTATATTTTACCTCAGTCAGGAAAAAATAAAAAAGCGTTTATTGTAAGAGCGCTTAGCATATGTTATAATTTTTTTATCACTATTGCGTAAAATTGTATAGTCATTATAACACTCTTTCCGAATCCTATGTACTGTTAGGAGCAATTATTTAGGAATGAATATGTTATATTTGGTCTTGTCGTATCTATAATTACTTACTTGATTCACTTTTCGTATCCGAAAAATGGAATCAATCAGAACTTGGTGAACTATTTTCCATTCGGAGTGAACGCTGTGGCTGTATTATAATATATAAATTGTAGATATAGAAAAAGTATTTTTTATAGAATCATGAATATAGTAATATCAAAACAATTAATTTCATTTCCGACAACAACACGACGCGTACCTACTGCATATACGGGAAATAAAAGCGGGCGACGGGTGATGGCAACAGCAACTATGAAGTACCTATAAATAATATACATATAGGTATCATATATAAAATGTACACTGTAGTACACGAATATAATATATTATAGGTAGTATATCGTACTTTTGATATACTGTCATATTGTATTGTTGTAGTTTTTATTATTTTTAATTTTTCAAGGTCTAACCGATATACGTTCACGCAATCACGCGTTATATTATCGAGCCACCACCGTACCGATTATCGCACTATTCCCGATGGAATACGCACTCACACGAACTCAGATAGCTTACACGTATATGGTATAAAGCTATTTATTATATATATATATATGGATGTATGGATGTATATATATATATATGTATATATATATATATGGATTTTAGCGACCTGTTAGGAGAAGCGGAGGTAAATAATGATAATAACGACGACGACGACGACGGAACACAATTGGTACGAGGTGGATATGGGGGTGGGTTGTGCTGGATGGTGGGCAGTGGGTAGTTTTCGGCGGTTGGGGTAAGGGCGGGAGACGCGTAAATAGTGATCGGAGTATCGGACCACCGCTCGGTGGCGGGGTCGGCAGCACGGAGGGTTTCATTCAGAGTGCGACGCGTGGGCGTCGCGACAGACCCCTATAAAACCTCACCCCGGCCGGGCGGACCGTGACAGTTCCGGAACGAACGCCGAGCACACGACACGTCTCCACTGGCGCAACCACGATACCAAGAAAAAAAGTGTACTCACTCGAAGATTAGAAGAGACTGCAATATTTACGAAAAAAACAAAATAACCAACAAGTGAACCGTAAGTAATTCTCACTAGTAGTATAATACTATAACTATACTGTACATTATCTATAGTACATATTTTTACTCTATAAACTTTTTTTTATAGTGCCTATTTATACATAATATTTCGATAGAGATTTCTTTAACATTTTTACTGTTTTTTGACACCTTATATCATTGATTTTGTATTTTTCGAGTAGTTACTATATGCGCCTTACATCAAATATTATTATTAACCTCCAGAGTCTGCCCCTCTTCATATGTACCGATGTCTGATTATAATTTATATAAAATATAATAGTATCATATTATAAAATATATTATGTTTGAATTATTATAATATTTATTTATTTATTCATAATATGTTAATATTTTATAATATTAAGTAATAATAAAGTAATCAATATTATTAAATCAGCAATAACATTTTAATACAGCTCGGGCTTGGAATCAAACGAATTGTTCAGTTGAGCGTTTTTAAGGTTAAACAATTTAAAAAATGTACTTTTACCCAAGCGATTTTGAAATATTCCGTATCAAAAAATCCGCAAAGTCCTATTTCATCAATGCAATTTTAGGTATGGCAAAAAATTCCTTTTAAGTACCTACTCAGAATATTAAATAGGTAACTTTAGATTACGAAAATAACAACGTTGCATTGCATAGTAGATACATTTATTTCCGATACCACTTTTTGTTTCACTAAAAATATTTGGTATATTATTATGTGAGCACTTTTTGTTTTAACTATAAATTTAAAAACAAAATGTTTTATCCAACGCAGTGTTTGGTTATGAGCCATATAGAACCTTTTGTTTTTGCTAATTTCTTGCTTTTTCTAATTAATGACATGGAAAACCTTGATTCAAAGACTAAAATTTCAGAAAAATAATCTTTAATTTAACCGTGAAATAACTGTTAGATATAGAACCCTTTGGTTAATAAATAAAAAGTATCACTTTGCATGAGTGGCAAGCCTTGAGGACCATGTTCTATAGCTAAAACACTCAATAAACGACATCGCAAACCATTTTCCTCCATAAATTGGAGTCTGTGTAGAAAACGTGTTATTTCAATTCAGTAACAATATTCATTCTAAAAACTTAAAATTCATTTTTGTATCAAATACATCAAATCTAGTAATATTTAGTTTTTATAGATACTTATAAATATAGTATTCTATAAATTTAGTATGTTTCATATAATCGTATGTTACATAGCTATCAATAGCAGGTCTTGTAAGTTATTCATACTAGCAATAATGAAGCAATAATAATGAATTAAAAGTTTCTTTGGTATTAATATTCTGATAAAAAAAACATTTAATGAAAATTCCTGGATGTTGTACCTAGTGCAATATTTATACATTTTTAATAATTAAGCACAAATTAAAATATATTATTAAAATGTAATTTAAGTAATCATTAAAAAATATCTTTATATTATAGGTTTTCAACACTACTTTATACTGGAAAAAAAGAATTGAAATTACCATTTTGTATTAATCAGCGTCAACATGTTCAATATAAATTAGATTGTTTGCAAATATATAAGCATTATGTTTCACTTTAAGTTCTATATTGATTAATGTTTACTTTACACATCCTGAAAATATTTTGATAACGAAAATCTATAATAAAATAAAATCTTACTATACTAACAACTAACAAGTAACAAACTAACAACTACCTATATCAAAAAACATTTTGTGTCAATTTTATGATTTTCAATAATCGAATGTAAATATTTCAACAAGATTAAACTATTATTTATACATTCACTTTATGAAACCTTAACATTTAATATTATACAGTATACTAAATACTTATATAAGTAAATAAATTGTAAGCATGTCGATTTACTCGTATACATGACGTTATATTATAATAGTGGTTAGTAGGTACTCAGTAGGTACAATACTTTTCTACTTTCAATAAAACGTTAGAGTTATTTGGTTAGGTATTTAAAAATAAATGTGTACCATACACTAATAATGTACTAAAATTAAATTTTTAAATCGATTGTTAAGTTAAAAGAAATGTAAAAAAACAAATAAGTGCCTCACAGTGCGTTGCCATTGGTGGACAATGCCAACGAATTATAAGTGATTATTAATTTTATTTTTGTCGATTACAGATGAAGTTATCAACTGCCTTAAACGCGGCTGTCCTGGCGACCATGGTCGCGTGCCTAGCATGGCCTGCCACGGCTCAGGTGTACAACATGAACCGGTACGGCAAACAGCAGTTGACCCAAAAACAGTATCGATATGGAAACCCGACATGGGCGAACGGAGCTAACCGGGCTGGAGGTTGGGCGTCATCGTCTTACGGAAACATGATGAGACATTATCCGGTGTCGATGGCCCGATACGGAGCGATAATGGGTGGCGGCAGACAAACGCTGTCACCTGACGACTATTACGATGGCGAAGCTAGAGGATCGGTCGCGTACGACCCCAGCCCCAGACGGTACGATCGGTTGGACTACGCAGTAGTTAGGTATCCGAGTTACGGTGGTGGTTACGGTGGTTATGGTGGTTACAGTTATTATCCGATGACCAGTCTGGCTGCTTCGGGTGGTAGCGGTGGTGTTGTAGTTGACGACGATCTGTTGTATGACGACGATGACGATGACCGTGACCGCGACCGCGATGACGACGATGATGAAGATATGTTGTTTGGGGATCGCGCTGGTCAAATTGCTGCGTCAAGGTATCCAATGACGGACAAGATACACAATTTCCGGAAGGTGTTTATGTCAAACCTCGTGTCACCATCCAACGCGTTCAAGTCACCCAAAGAACGGCAGCTATACGACTTTTGGGAATCACTGATCAATGGAGACCTGGACGACATGCAGCAGACAGACGACACCATCGGACAACCACGTCTAGACCGAGATCGGCAGCAGCATCAGTCACCACTCGACTTTGGGTCCACCACTTCGTTGCTCTATCAACATCTGCCTCCGATATTTCTCAAGCTGCAGCAACAGCAGAAACAGAAGCTACAGAACAAACAGCACCTGCTGAAGCAGCACTACAAGTCGGTTGACGAACAGACACCGCCACCACCACTGCCCCCGCCAGCATCATCATACTTGGCGTCATCGTCGCCGGTGCAGACCGTACCACGAGGAAATTTCTACAAACAGTGGGCGAACGGATCTCCACTAATCAAGAGGTCTTCGGCTGGTGGAGTCCAGCAGACAATATCATCATCGTCATCATCATCATTATCTTTGGACAACGACGACGTACGGCAGTTGCGAGAGCTAAAATCTAACAACGGTGCCACCAATAAGACAGCAACGGCGACAACAATGACCACGTCGACCACTACAACCACTTCCACGGTCGCCGGTATGAGTACTGCGGCAGCGCCATTGCTGCCCATGGCGGACGGAGGACAGAGAGAGTTCGTGCTGCCCAGACCGGCGGGTGAGAAGTTGGATTTCGAAAATCTGTTGGAGGTGTTCGCCGAAGGTGGTCTTCGTGGAAATTACGGCGATAACAGCAATGTGAGTATACACTTTACATTCAATAATCGTAAAAATCCTGCTGTGAGTGGATGTTGCCATGTTGGTTAACACCGGTGACTCGATATTATTACTGCAGTTTATCGTTTTCACTATGATAGGCAGTCCCACTTGAGTGCTCTCCACTCAAAGGCAATTTTCAATATTTTTTTTTTTGTTGCCGTTGCCACTTTCCTGTGTTAATACGCACTAAATAAATATTAGTGCGTTGTTATTATCATTTATTTTAATATGATAATACTCTGGAAATATCAAAATGAAACATTCGAATAGATATAGCCATATAGGTAATAATCTAATAACAATTACATATCTATTGTCTATAGAAAATATGATGATATATAGGTACGTTAAAAAAAAGATTATACGATTAAAATTTTAAATGATATATGGCATAAAAATGAATATTATACCATATTAAATGTTCGTTTAATTGATCAAAATTTTTTGTAAATTATGTACACTCGAGAAATAATGCAAATAAAAATAATATATAATGCCGTGAATCCAAAATAGAATTGTTGAACTATAGCTATTAAAAATAAAAAATAAATGATAAAAATTAGGTGGAATAAGGCTCATGAAACAATAATTGTGATTAATGAAACTACCTACCTATAGATTAGAGAATTATCGCGTGTTTACAACGCACTCTTTGCGCTCCGGAAATTACAAATATTCCTCTGTAAAGCGTCACATAGGGTAAATCCACAGAGTAAGTGTATTGCGTTAAGCGGTTAACCGAGATCATAAAATGTCCAGTGCATTTTATTTATTTTGTTGAAACATGCAAGTGTGTCGACAATCAACATTATTTTTAACTGCAAACCAAAAATATTAAAATGGCGGAAAAACTGAGTTCGAGGGTTATTAATTAATTATTAATTTAGATAGTGCTAAATTATTATTAATACATACTATACAATAACGTATCTAACTTCGTTGTTATATTAGCACAAGTCGTCAATTTTTCTGGAAATAACTGTATCTATATGTGGAAAAAAACGCAAGAGAGAATGCAAAGTTTCAGATTTTTTTACGTAGTTTGTGAGTTATTAATGGAATGTAGAATCACTTATTATAATACTAAAGCTGCATAGTCTTATCTAGTTCAATATTTCCACTGCAGTGGTAATATTATTATATTAATATTATATTGTTTAATGTCAATCAAAAGTTTAAGAAATAAAAAATATAATATGGAAGTATGGTATAAATAGAAAAGTAGGATAGGCATGTGTCAAATATAATAAAATAGGTAGGTACCTTAAATTCAACAATGTATTGTATTATGTAATGACTGCGGCAAGAGAAAATATAAGTGGAAAACATTTTGAAACTGACAATAAGATACAAACGGAAGCATATGTGCTGGTATTTTTGTAAAAGAAAAAAAAATAGTATATACCTATATAAGCTGTATACACACGTCACCCACCCACACTTGTATTACCGACACACTATTACCTATATGCTTGTACTGAATACGGTTAGCAAGCTGCGATAATGTCACTACCGGGAGTAGTTAAAACTACATCACTGGAATGGCGCTGTGACCAAGTGACGCATTATAATAGAAAACATTTATTTTTAAGGACATCCCTAGACATCTATAAATTATATTATAGTTGTGTCATTGGAGGAAAATCGAAAAATACGTACACATTTATATTTCCATCATGTAAAAATTCACCCGTCGCAGGAGTTAAATGTTTACATTAATTTTGTATACGTACGCACATATAGTTAGTGCGCGGTATAACAGTTAAGAAAAAAATGTTTAGCTGAACTAAATATTATATTACAATAATATTGTAAAAAGGAAGTTCTACTTAGATACTTCAATTTATTTTAAAGATGAATAAAAAAAATGAATAAAATTCTTGCACCAATAACCCAACCTAACCTACCAAATACTCTAGTGGATGGAAATAAATTATTGATAGGCAATGGGCATTTTAAACTTAAAATTAAGTTACCGTATATAATTAGAAGGTCATTAATACAATTTATTTAAAAACTATTATTTGACTAACATTATTTACTACCTATGTGAAAATAAATTCAAATAACACAATATTAATAATTTGACTAAAAGTGTCTGCGTAGAATTTTCTTAAATGATACTAGTACATATTGTCAAAATAATAATTTTAGAACCGTATAAAAAATTTATTATTTGTACATTATAAAGGTAGAACGGTGTATTGTGTTTAATTTAGTTTCCATAGATATTTGATAAGTTCCTTTGCAGTGTAGAATAACATTTACCAAGTCGGCAGTCGCATTATATATAGATATATTCATCTCTTGAGGTGATTAATAAGGAAAGGGCCATTTACCCTAGTATCGTCAGGTCTGGTAGCTGGTAATAGGTAATTAGTCAGCCACTGTGGTTAGACTACATATATTACATTAAACGATCCTCCAACAGTATAAATTCACAATGTAATACTTAAAATTAAAAAAAAAAACTACTAAATAAGGAAGGTAAGACTTTCAATTCAATTTAAAAAAAGCACTTCAAACAACTTGCTATTTAATATGCACTACATGAAATCGTATTGTGCCATTATATTGATACCCATAAATACCAATAGTTAATTATTCTTTTAATAAAACCATTTAAAAATACCAACTTTACTCGATATTTGTTATTTTTATGTTCTGTTATTCTATTTTGTACCGATAATAATATATACAGTTAATGTTTATTTTCTAATGCGTTTAGTGTGGCTCTACAATTCAATATCACAATACATTATTATGGTTGTTGGACATTGGTTAGTAACCCGTACGTTGTTCTATGTTAGGAAACGTTCAAGCGTCGACGATTTTATTATGAGAATACTGTGGTTAATTTCAAAATTAAACTTTTTTTTATTACTCTAACCCACATACGTTTTTGTACTGTGTACTTTCGGTGTAGTCTACCAATGGTTTGACATCGGTTTATTTTCATTTTTATGACGGTACCTATACATTGAACACTCTATATAGTATTATACGCAGACTGTGTATTACACAAATAATAAAAAAAATATCTAAACTCCGGGCAAGATACAATGTATTTATAAATTTAGCTTAAAACTAGAAAAAAATTATCGATTTAAATTTTAACGGTATCGTGTAACGAAATTAATTTAACGTAGAATTCAAAATGAATCAGTGTCCGGATGTCTCTATTGAGTTATTCTATTATGTGACTTAAAATGCCCTTGTGGTAAAATAGTCTTAGGTTTTTAAACATCTCAATAGTCATAATAAATAGTTTTTAATAATCAGTGAATATTCATGAAGTTAATTTATTCAAAAATATAAAGGCGTAATGAATGCGCAATAAGTAATATACCCTGTGGGCTGTAGTAATATTTTCGTTAGATGTTTCAACTGAATTTAAAGACAACAATTTGAAAATTGAAATCTAAACATAAATAATTTATACTCATACTTGTATTTAGGTTAAGTTAACATAAATACTTAAAAAATAAAAATAAACAAATTTACAAACTAACTGTATTTTTTTCAATATGAATGGAAATTTAAGCGAGTAAAAACTACATTTTAGAAAATATCAGGAAGTTGTTAGTATACATTGGTTTTTTAAACTTTAATAATTCCAATAAACAAAATAAACAAATATTTATTTTCTTCCTGGCTTATATACAGCTTTATATTACATTTTGATCATATATCATCAAATATTCAAATTGTTATTTATTATTTATGAAATTGAAACTGTGTAAATAAATATATTATATGCCATACAATTTTATAGATTCAAATATTTTGAAATTCTATTTTCACGTTACAATGACAATTTCAACTCATAAATGAACTATATATTATAAGTTATAGCTCTAAGACAAACATATGATAGGTTAGGTGTATGGGTTTAATATGACGTTCAACTAATCAAGGACGGATTCAGGGGGAGCGGTAGCTGGTGATAAGTTTTTCATAAAATATTAAAAATCAACAATGTAAAAATGTAAAAGTATAATTGTTGGTATTTTATTCTGGTTTGGGGACAAATTCCCTAGTAAATACAAATTTAATTAACATTTAACAAAATTTTGAAAAAGCTTTACATTTAGTATTTTAAGACAATGTGATATAATAACCATAAAACGTAAAATGTAATCACTAATCAACAATAAAAAAATTTTAGACCCTTAATAATACCTATGTAATAAAATAATTAATCCATTCATGATGATATTAGTGTATTCTACAAAATAGGTACATTTCACAAGCATATGTTTTATAATATATGTATGTACATGTATATAAGTAATACATTTCAAAAAAGAGAAATTAATTTTTATAAGATCTTATTATATTTTTAAAATTCTAAATTTTAAGAGTTATTATTTTATCAGCAACATGGCCTATTTATCTAAATACCTATTTATATGGACTACGTTAATTTTTTTATGTTTGGGTGTTGGTTGTTTGAATTGAATGTTGTACAATGTCAATGAAGGTACAGTTGTTCAAAGGATTAATTCAAATACTATAACTATTATTCTTTATTAATGCATTTTAATAAAGAATAATGTCATATTTATTAAATGAATACAACAAATCGTAAACATTTTTGACAGGCCCGAGAGTCCAGGTTATTTTCTTAATAAATCATTTTTAAACAATTAGTTAAGGAGCATGCATTTTTTTTTACTTTTACCTATCTAATCAAAAATAATCAATCTTAATATTATTAAATACGTTCTCTTGTATAACATAGTTTTAAAATAATGTGAAAACCATAAAAATGCACAGATGTTATTACATATTATATAAATAGTACTAAACTTGATTCCTATTTAATTGATTTAAGTTCAAGCAGTCAAAATTTTTAAAGATATAAATACCTGTAAGGTATGGTAATAAAATTATTCCTTAAATACATGTTTACAAGAATTTATTTATTTTGATATCTTTATTTTTAGTTTCCTTTGTTTAAACTGTTTCTCAAAAGTCAAGTCTTGCATTATTATTGTGTTATTATTATAATATAAGCTTATATAATATGTAGGACGTAGGTACCAAATTAAGTATACGTTCATGAAAAGTGTTGTTTTTTCAGTATGTTAATCGTAGGAAAGGTAGATAATAGTATATGTTATTTACCCACGAAATAATAGGCACCTAATTAATAATTAAATATATCACCTTTCGTCCGTACAACATAATTATATACAGTATCCGGTTTTGTTGACGTGCAAAGTCTGGGCACATTATTATTTTGTTTGATTCATATCTGTGTTTTATTCTTAATTCCTAATTTATATCCGAGTGTAAATTAGTAAAGCCACGAATTAAGGTAAACTAAAACATTAAACAAACTAAAAAAACAAAACCATCACATACTCGCGAGGGAATAAAATCATATAATTTATAGGGTGGTTTACGTGTCCGGCATTTAAATTGTATTACTTTTCTTCAACTGTGACGTCAACGCTGGGACAATCGATACCGAGTCTCTCGGCGGCGGCGGCTCTCGGATTCTTGAATGGAGGTCGGAAAATTGCCGGCAACTGCGCGTATGACGTCAATACCGAAAATAGAAACTTGTATATCGCACGGCGTTGAATGAAACCCCACCCCATTTCACTCCCCTCGCGAATTTCCACCCCTTAACAGTATTATCGCCACTACCACCCCAACCACCTACCGCTTGCAAAATGCCATGCCTGACGTCATACACGCACAAGCGACCCCGCTATATACAGCCGAACCTAGCTAACCCCCGAAAGAGTAACGCGTAGAATATTTATGAGGCTCTCTCCATCCTCTTCGTCTCTCTTTTCCTCGGGGAACGAAGTAGAGTAGTTAGGTTAACACTGCGACTCACCACCCACACAACATCCTACCGTTCCACAACCACTGATCCACTTCACCCATCACGACTCTCCTGCCGTGCTTGAAAGCGAGCATGCATAATAACGCAGATGACTTTTATTCACAGTTAATTTTTTTTCTCCCATATAAAAATTTAAATGCGCCGAGCGAAAACAATTATCTACAATATTGTACTGTGCTGAAGGCTTGAAGACATATTATTATATTAGGTTAACCGTATAAGCTCGTACCTTGAAGATAAAATTGACCATGAACCAGGTCTTAGTTCAGAAATTAGATATCATATTATTGCATGTAGTACGAGTTTATACATATTTATAGTGCATAAATTATAAATTGTAATTTAAAATTATAAAAGACAATTTAACTTCACACAATAAAATGTCAATAATATTATCATAGAGTTCTATATTTTATATTATATTGTTTACATTCATTATTATTTATTTATTTTACATCCATTTGCACTCATAATATTAATGGATATTAAACTTTAAGAACATGTAACCAAAAATAATGTTGATTGGGTTTTAAGCATTGAGTTTTCACTGTCTTGCAATATCTAAGACCCTATATGGTCTATACAATGTATTTTAATCCTAAACCCTATATATGAGATTTATATTTATATATTATTATGATTCATGACTTTTATATTTTTTGTCTTTCTTTCCTTACTGATGGAATTAAAAAGATTACGAATCAAATAAAAATCAACGAAGGCCGCCTCGACCACACCCCATAGTTGAATCCGTTACTTTTCGCCCACAGTGTCGGGTGACTGAAGCTACTTTGTTTACATTAGTTTTCAAATGAGCTGCTCCAAGTTTTAAGTTACGATTCTATGAATTTATTCATAAAATAAGGGCAGTAACAAAAAAGTGGTTACTTACACCAGTTAAGTCGTTCTTAGAATAATTGAAAAAATACTGTGTACGTAATGCCCACAGCTTTAATAGTTTTATTATTCTGTACAAAATTGAAAACACAAAACAAACGGCCACAATCGCAGTTCAATACAATAATTTGATGTTTTTAATTGTAGTAAAATGAAAAATTATAATTTGTTTTAAGTACGTAAAACGTACACTAATTTGAATAGATACTTTATGTCACTACCTAGTAGATATCTATGACGTATAATTACTGTTGCATAATATACATTTATTACTATTTTTAATACCATTATTATATTATGTAGGTGTAGTCTATCACATTTGAATATTTTGGTCTTTACTTTTTAGTCCTTAGTAGATACCTAACGCAATAGTTTATAATACGAATACAATGTTTTTGTGTTTTTTAAGGCTTAATTATTAAGAAACAAAACTTCGGTGATATTAACGTGCAATATTTTTTATTTTTTCAGTTTTCAAAAGAAGCTAAAGTGAATAAGAAAAGATCATTCGTTTCCGATGAGACGTCATTGGCAGCTCAACTTGGTGCGCTTCGAAAAAATTAAAAATGCCATTCTATATTGTTTGAAGAATGAATGTGTGAAGTTCGTCAAAGCGGAGTATACTAAAAACTATATGATAATAGTAGTGTAAATAATACATTTTCTTTTATTCGATACGTTCGCTTACGTGTAAAGTCAATTTTCCTAGCCGTTCTTCTTTTTTTAAATTTACATTATTAAAAGCATGTGTGCACTTTTTGATTTTATTCTCCTTCCCCGTTGAAATACACTTATTGTTGGATACCACACAATATTGTTTGGTTTAATAACATAATTTCATTAAGGAGCGAAGACTGAATGAAACGTTTCATTGTACCTATTATATATGCATTTATAGTGTCAATAACAAATACAATTCAAATAATCACTTGTAAGTTTAAAAGTCGGTATTTCTTATTTAAGTAATAATTTTACTTTAAATGTTATAAATTATATTGCCGTTTAATACCTATATATATATATATTAACCTTATTGATATTTTATATTATCTTAATACTTAATATTTTGTATGCTGTCCATTCTTGCACTTTTATGTAATTCCCCTGTACATAATATTATAATAATTACCGTGATTTGTTTATAAGATTTAATAACTATTAATTATAGGTACTTCATACGTTATTAAGTACCTATTCGTAATATAATATTGTAGTCATGAATGTAGGATGTTATATTTAAATAAAATATTATCAATTAAAATATTTAAAATGTTTTTTTATTGTCATCATTTGTAGGTATGTGAATGAAAAACGTTTAGACATATACTTTTGACGGACAGTATATGACTAAAACTGTTTTTTCCATATCAAGGGAACATATTACTATGAACAAATAACAAACACTGCAATGTCCGATAGTAAAAATATGATTCATTTCAACAATCATAACGTTTTAGGCCTACTTGATGATGTAGACTTTATACAGTCTGTTACATCATGTCTGCAACTTATCTTGACTATTAATTAGACGATTTACCTTTTTATCTAGGTCATTTCTCCCCTATCCGAGGTTCTCGTAGCTAGACGTCCGTAGTGGAGAGGTTGGGTGTTGAAAAGATATTTGTGGATATTGATAGGTACTTCAAAATTAAGCGAGTAGGTACTAATCCGGGTACCGGGAAATTACTTATAGACAATATACGAGATGTTACGATATCTTAATATTATAAGACCAGAAAGTCAGACTATACATCAAATACCAGAAAATATATAAATAAATACATAGATTAATAATGATAACCAATTAGGTATTAAAAAAAAAATAAAGTTAACTAATTTTTTCAAACATATTTTCTGTTTTAGAGAAGACAAAAATGATTTAATATTAAAATTTGAGAGTGGTTTTGAGTACTAGAATTTGTCTGGTAACGAATTAGATCTAGTGGACAATTTGAGGAGATCAAAATTCTTAGTACTTACCTATTTTTAAAAGCAATTGGGCAAAACTGAATACAATTTACCGAAAAACGGGAATATTTACGCAGCACCACCAGATTTTGTCTGAATCGAATTTGTTTTAAATTCTAAGAGACACAATCAGTATTTTTAGTATTTCATAGCTATTTTTGGTTTTTTTAATTTTTGATTTTATGTATGCGTACCTATACGTTTTATGGAAGGCAGAAAAAATGCTTCAATCTTTATTTCGAGGGCGGTTTCTGATAGAAAATTGGATCTATTTGGCATACTTTTTGATAGTGAAAATTAAAAACTACCTATGGGTACCAGTAAATTTCAAAATAAAATAAAGGTTTGATCAAATCATACAGTTTTGGATCAGAATTTTTGAGAATCAGTCCTTTGTATTGTTTTTCAACCTTGAAGTGAAGACAAGCAAAGACTATTATGGGTTAATCTCTGACTGAAAGTTTTAGAAACTGAATTCTAAGGAACCTGTGACCATTGACGGATTTTAAACGTGACCGGAGATTGTGTGATCTATAAAGATCTTGACCAGGGGTGGCGAGACGTAAACTAAAGACAATTCGAGCTTAATAATAATATAGTTGCAATCTTACACAAATAACCCAGGTCGAAATTCGTGCACGCTACCCAAAAATTTCTTTCATTTTACTATTCTCTTATATATAGGTACACTTGATCGCACAATAATTGCATTCTACTCTCATCGGTCATTACTACAAACTCATCTACCGTTGTAAGTAAACTACCCATAGTTCGTCTTAGATCTATTTGTATAAATTACGTAGCTCACAGCTTCGAAAGTTGTTACCATTTCGGTACATAACTTTACCATTGCTGATGTTGTCGTTCAAGTTCTTTTTACAAGCACATCCAATTATATAATAGGTAATTTTGAAACATCCAAATGTTTTGATTTAATTATTTTTCTGTCACTCTATAGTATATTATATACAGGGTGATCCAACAAGTATGCTCAACCCCTTTTTTCTTTAATAATGAAGTTTTTTGAAATCTGATTATTGGAATCATAAATATACTCAAAGGCTATATTTTCATATTTTTGAGATTTTTTGTGCCACTTAAGGAGTGTCCTGTGGCGATACGAACTTTTGTTTTTCAAATTAACCCCACTTTTTGATGTATCGTGATCAAAATTCGAACGAGTGGTTTCTGAGTTATTGGACAATTTGTACTAAGAATAATAGTCCATAATAGGGATATGCTTATGCAGTTCTACTTATAGAAAAAGAAAAAAAATCAAATAAATCAAGAAGGATTTTACTTGCTATTTACCTAAGTGTTTGACTAAATAAATATAAAATGAAGTATTATTTTATATTACGTGTATAGACTATACATAACAACTCACAACGTATATAGTATAAGCATATCCTTCTTCCATATTATAAACTATATTATCCTAGTACAAAATGTGTAATAACTAGAAAACTACTAGTTCGAATTTTGATTTCAATACATCAAAATTCCCAAAAGAATTATCCGCTAAATAATTTACAGCAAAAAAGTGGGGTTCTCATTTGAAAAACAAAGGTTCGTATCGCCACAGGACACTCCTTAAGTGGCACAAAAAGTCTCAAGAATATGAAAATATGGTCTTTGAGTATATTTAAAGATTCCAAAAATCAGATTTTGAAAAACTTCATTATTAAAGAAAAAAAGAGGGTGAGCATACTTGTTGGATCACCCTGTATATATGTATAGGATTTTCAATGTCTCATTAGATAGCTTTTCGCTTTTATTCCGTTCTGTTTTAAGTGTTGATGCTATATTAAATTTTGTGATCCTGCGAAAAAGAAGACCGGTTTAGTCACAGCCGTAAATATTATAGTATTACGCATCATATTCTTCTACGTAAGTATGTCAGGGTATTTTTGATTTCCATACAGATACGATGTAGATATAAATTATAAGTATTAACATCAAACCATTAGACTCGCCGCATAATATATACTCATAAGTCAGTATATTTTACTTCACGTGATGGTATGTCTATTTCTGTGAGGTTATAAGTGATAAACAAATGTTGGACAATTTAAATGTATATTTTTGTTACCATGTCGTCCCTACTGTGATTTCACGATCCTTGTCTTGCACTTGTCCTTGAATTGCTCCCGAAACATGATTGTTGTTGGCTGACATAACTACACAAGCCAATGCCAGATTTCGGTATTAATAATATCTTTATTGCTATTTTTTATTTCAATTTATCATTTTCTGTATTAAATAATTATTACATACTTACATATTATAAGGTGCATATATTTGTATTAGGTAGGTACATAAACAATTTTAAAAATAAATAACCAGCACCTTTAATCCATCCTTCTTTAATTTTGATCGTATTACATTTTAAACATTACCGAGTACATTGAATACAATTATCATTATGCATTGAAATATGTACATTATAAATTAGAAGTAAATAATTCAGAATAAAGTAAATAACAACAAACTACCTACCAAACATGTAGATTTTCTAATTTAAATCGTTGTTCAGGCTTTGATTTTTAGTTTACAGAAAAACTAATACAATTCATATTATTAACTGATTTGAAAAATATTCGTAGGTACCTATAGTTGGAAAGAGATGCGAAGAAATTTTATTGGTGACCGAAAAACAAACGCACCTAAACAAAGTGTTTAATATAAGAATATCGATTTAAAACATAATATGTATTGCTAATTTCCTTTCAGTTATTTATTCAAGAATTTTTTTCATCTGCTTACTAAATTCAACGAATTGGATCAATTATTGAAAATAATAGTTTAAATGTTAAAATTAAATATGCAAAATGGCAAACTATACGAATAAATTGGTGTTATTAAACCTGGTATTATAATATGAGGCAAAAATCAAAATATAAATTGTATATTTTATTTCTAAACAATATATTTTTGTTTTTTTGAAATTGACTTATATCTGAAAATATCGTTGATACGTTGTTTCAAATTTTTAACGATGGGCGTATGATCATTTTTTGTTAAAAATCTTTTAGTTATTTCAACTGACTTATTATTTCGTTTATAGTACGATACTTAGGAACGCGTATTATGGATTATATTCATAACGTGTTTAGATCTATTTAATTTTTTCCCCTTCAACAACTTTTTAATGGATCAACAACTATGATGTTTGTTCCATGTTTTGGCCAATACACCACCAATTTGAAAGTATATAGGCATGAAAAAAAAGGACTAAAACACATTACAATGTACAATTGTCACTTTATAGTGCATTTAATATATGTTTAATGCATATACATTTGACAATATTTCGTAAGCAATTTCACAATAGGTACCGTATAAAAAGAGCATTCAAAATTATAATAACCGAACAGTAAAAACCGTTATGATAAGACATTAAGACATAATTTATATACAAAAATAGCAATTATACTTGAATGAATAGATTTTGAGATTAGTATATTGATAGATTGATTTAACAACGATGTGTTTTTTTTTTATTTGTATTTTTTGTGTGTCATTACCATTTGGGGTAGTCAAAATTATTTGATTTGACATTAGCTTATTTTCTGGTAGGGACTATAGTTGGTCGTTTGGAGGGTTGAAGAGTAAAAATAATTACTATTTTTAAAATGTCATTGCTTAAGTACCTTTAGTAAAATTAAGAATAATATTTTTGAATTGCAACAAAATGACAAACATCGTTATACTTTGTTTAAATA